GGCTTGCTATTGAATTTTTAAAAGTACCTTAATCTCATTGGTCTCATGTTCTTAACTCATGTCTTCTAAGGACTCTTCTTATGGGAAGGTTTTCTGTATAGTTTTTCCTCTCTCGACTGTAGAGATTCTTCTAAAGTATAGCAATACTGCTTGCTGACCTGAAAGTGTCTTACCCTGTTTTTGACTTTGACATTAGATTTCTAAGGCTTTTTCTATATTTAGGTGTTTGACACTCCAATAAGTATACATTGACCACTATCATGATGGTATGACATGAGTCAGCAAACTGTGGTCCATGGGCCAAATTTGGCCCTTTGGCTGTTTTTGTAATATGTACCACTAGCTAAGAATGGTTTTTATTGATTAGTATTGTAATCTAGTAACACTAGCTTTGAACCTCAATTAAGCAAAATATTATCTCTGTAGAAAAGAATGCCATTCTTCTCATTAGTAGACCTCTATAACAAAAATATTATACTGAATTATTATTATATGTTGAATTTTATCAATAAAATTTTTGTTGAAATTTATTTTCTCTCTTGTTATTGTAAGTACCTACATGATATCCTTGATTTTGCTTTATTGCCTGCAAGGCCTAAAATTTCTATCTGGTCCTTTACAGGAAAAGTTTGCTAAGCCCAGTTTTAAAAGAAACTTGCACTTGTCTCATCTCTACAGTCATTCCCTACTTCAGTTTATAAGCATTTTGAAATGTGGCCAACCAGGAGCATATACAGTGTATATCTATTGCTATTCAACTCTACTTAGTGCCTGAGTTCAAAGTATTGAATAGTGAGTGTTTTTAAAAAATAATTATCTAAATATGTTTATTTTTTAAATTTGAGAGCAGGAGTTTGGGTGATGTGTGGTACCTATACTTGTTTAATTTCTGTTATCATAAATGCCTAATCTGTGCGTGGTAAATATTATTTGCCGTGATATTTAAAGCTGTATAACTAAGTCAGTTATATAACTCCCATCTAGCTCTCCTTAATTATGATGAGGAAATGTTAACTAGAAAGAATAACATTCCATAATTGAAGTCCAAAAATCATGTTAATGATGGTATCACTTTCCATTTTTATATTACTAGTTTACCATTTTATATATATTTTTTGTTTTTAATAATGTATGAAAAACTATCCAGCTAGTTCAATAATACCAACAGTTATATCATTTTACATTTCGTGAGTAGGTGACTTGTTATCCTCTGTAGTGTTATTTAAAGGATTAAACTTTGTCTAATTTTCTGGATAGCCAATATCTGTAGCAATCCTTCTCTGCTCATTTATGTATGCTGATGTGTCTTCATAATCACTTCTCTAATAGCAGTTTTCTAAGTAAGCATTGGGTGGAATTCTGCCTTCTTCCCTTGATACTGATTGGTAACACCACCTCATATCACAAGTATTCTTAAAATGAAAGAAGGAAACTCCTTTTCATTGACAGACCAGGAAGTGGTCTTGATTGTAAGTGTTTTGGAAAAAAGTTTTAGATAACATAGTTCAGTTCCACTGTGGATGGAACATAAATTACTCAATGATAAGCCTAAAGATATTTTTCTTTATATATTTGATTCTGGCATGTGAACATGCATTTGATATTATGATACTAAATTCTTCTGGTACTATATTTCTCTTTCTTGCTTCTGCTATTTACACTTTTATTTGTCCTGTCCTTCCCTTCCTCTTGCTTTTCTACTATTTCTACTGTTTCTTTTAATAGGATCCCTAATCTATTCAGAAAAGTGAGTTAAGCTGAACTTTGTTGTAGGCAAAGTACAGAAGTTAAACACTGTGGAACGACTTTTTATCTGAAGTACCGGAATTGTTGGAAGTTCAACTTGTTAGTTTTCAGGATAGTCTTTAATTATAAACATCAGTGTATCATTTGAATATGTCACAGTAATGGAGATTGACAGGCATGTGGTTGAATTTTGGGTTTGTTCATGTATTGATAATGTTTGTCCAGCAGTAGTCTAGCAATGAAGTATCTTGTCTTGATACATAAGAATAGCATTTCTTTTTTATTTAAAAGGTTTCATGCTCCTTTAGAAACTTGTATTTTGATGGCTATATATAGCTTTTGTTTGTGATGCATTTCTGAAATATTTAGGCTTATTTCAAAATATAATATATTGGCAAGTGCTTCTCTGAGGAATTTTACTTAATTTGTGTTATAATAAAAGCTAATAT